ATAATAGGTTATCCAGTCCTGACTGATCAGCTGTAAACACATACAGAGAAGAGCAACACTAAATGGTCTCGATAAATTTTTGTTTGTCTATTTGTAGTGGGGATGGAAATTATGTAATACAGTACTCAGGTATGAAATTATAAAAAATAAAAAACATTTAAATTTAAAAAAACTGCGTTTCAGGCCTTTAATCCCAGTACTTGAGAGGCAGAGACAAATGAATCTCTGCAAGTACAGGGCCAGCCTGGTCTACAGAAAGAGTTGCAGAATAGCCAGGGCTGTGTAAAGAGAGACCTTGTCTCAAAAAACAAAAAAGAATGGCTGGAGGTGGTGACAGCGCATGCCTTTGATCCCAGCTCAGGAGGCAGAGGCAGGCAGATCTCTGAGTTCAAGGCCAGCCTGGTCTACAGAGTTCCAAGACAGCCAGGGCAATACAGAGAAACCTGTCTCAAAAAACCAAAAGAAAAAAAAAACGACTGAATTGTTTTTGTTTCTCTGTGTAGCCCAGGCTCTTTTTAAAAAATAATTTATTATTTATACAGCTTTCTGCCTGCATGCAAGAGACCCTGTCTTCAAAAGAGTTGATGGCGCCTGAGGAAAAGTTCCACAGGTTGGCCTCTGGCTTCCACATGCATGTGAGCAGATGTGCTCTCTCTCTCACACACACACACAGCTGCAAATCATACTGCCTGATGTGGTTGGTACAGTACTTACCTAAACAGTGCTCCAGCACTGCCTAATTTTTTTTTAAGATTTATTTACTATGTATACAATGTTCCGCCTGCACACCAGAAGAGGGCAGCAGATCTCACTGTAGATGGTTGTGAGTCACCATGTGGGTGCTGGGAATTGAACTCAGGACTTCTGGAAGAACAGCCAGTGCTCTTAACCTCTGAGCCATCTCTCCAGTCCTCCAGCACTGCTTTAAAAGGGGGGGCACACATGTGGTGCATGCCTTTAATCCCAGCACTTGGGAGGCAGAGGCAGGCAGCTGAGCTCCAGGCCAGCCTGGTCTATAAATCAAGTTACAGGACAGCCAAGGCTACACAGAGAAACCCTGTCTTGAAAAAAAAAAAAAAAAAAAAAAAGCAAAATACAAACAAACAAAAACAGTGGAGCATGGGGCCTCATGCTTGTAATCCCAGCTCTCAGGAGGCTGAGACACAGGATTGCCGTGAGTTTGTGGCCAGTCTGAGAACAGAGAACACCAGGCCTATTGGGGCTTCATAGCAAGACTCTCAAACCAATAACAGTCATCATCGTAAGTTAATTAAAATAAGTGAAAAGGATAGACTGACAAGATGGCTCAACAGGTTAGGGTAGTTGCCCCCAAGCCCGGCAGCATGATTTCCTGAACCCAGAGAGTAGGAGAGAGCCAACTCTCTTAAGCTGCCCCCGACTTCCACTCAGGTACCATGGTGTGTGCACAGGTATAAGCACATGAAGGACAAATGCAAAATTATTTTTAAAGAATAAATAAAGTTACCAACTCCCTGTTTTTAAGGAACAGGAGTCTGGTGGGTTTTAACTTGAGTTTTCCGTTCTGAGTTTGAACTGTTGAATGAACTGTTAAGTCAGGCCCATCGTAGTCATGATTTTAATTAGTTAAGTCAGTTGAGTAGGACTGTAATTACAGCTGCAAAACCCTTTCATCTTATTTTTCATTGTTTTGTCTTGTTGCGGTTTCTCCTGCCACGGTTTTTAAAGACAGGGTTTCTCTGTGTAGCCCTAGCTGTTCTGGAACTTGCTCTGTAGACCAGGCTGGCCTCAAACTCACTAAGATCCATGTGCCTCTGCCTCTGAATGCTGGTCAAAAGTGTGCGTCCCCACGGCCTAGCTGCAAAGACTTTGTTACGTTTGTCACTGTGTCCTGTGTCCAACCTAGTGCTTGGCAACAGTAGGTCGGTGGCTGGGTGGGTGAGTTTGATGAATCGACAGATAGAGCAGTAGACAAGTAAGACAGCCTACTCACATAGAGATGGAGAGAGACAGGAAAAATAGAAGTGTAATACTGAGAATATTTTGTACTAAGCACTTTATGGTTTTGGTTTATTGTTTGGTTTGAGGAATTATCTACTGTAGCCCAGACTGGCTGCGAACTCAGCAGGAAGCCCACGATGACCTCGAACTTCTGACCTTCCCACCTCCACCTCCCTGAGTGCTAAGATTATAGTCATGTACCACCCTACCAAGCTAGTATTTCACATTTTTTGTCTCATTTAATTCTTACAGCTGTTCTGGGACTAGTATATTTACTCACTAAAAAAAGTTATTTTATTTTATTTGTATGAGTGCTTTGCCTGCATGTATGTCTGTGTGCTCGTGGAGGCCAGAAGAGAGAATCAGATCTCCTGGAACTAGAGCTGCAAACGGTTGTGAGCTGCTGGGAAATAGTCCCGGTATCCTGGGAGCGCAGCAAATTCTCTTAACCACAGAGCTATCTCTCCAGGTCCCTTTTACCTCCATTTTACATCAGGAAAATATTTTCTCCTGGAGGTTAACTTTCATGCTCAAAGCCAACACAGAAGGTAACGGAAAGAGCCAGGATTCAAACTCAGGACTGTTTCCAGTGGGAACACTGACCACTTTCTTTGACTTGAAGGAACTGGGCGGGTACCCATGGAGACTGAGGTTTTAGGATTACATGAGTTTACAAGCCTGAGACCGCTAAGTGAAACGAGACCCATCTCAAAAATCACAACCAAATCTGTGGAACCCTGCTTCAGAACACAAACAAATGAAGACTTGGCCAGAGACCCAAGTATCCCAGCCTGGCCCAGCTGCACTCCCCCTCACCTCCAAGCCTCTGACCACATCAGTGTCAGGGCTGGCTGGAGGAGTGTTTGGCAGAAGTGGGATTATGTTTTCTTGAACAGTGAGCATCTAGTCCTCGCCATAGGCCAGAGGACCTATGCTTAAATAGAAAGGCCTGTGCTTAAATAGAAAGATGCTGGCTTGGGTTAGTGGGCCAGGGGTGCCAAGGAAGAGGGCCCAGACAGGAGCCTATGGAATTGAGGTTCTCAGGTGGACCTGCTTGGAGTGACCCTAAAATGAAAAGAGCACAGAAGAGCTGTCCACCCTCCTGACCTCACTCACCATTCATGGGAATCTCCAGAGTAGGTAGAGTCAGAAGAGCCCAGCATGGTGGTTCATGCTTTAATCTCAGCACTTGGGGGCCAGAGGCAGGAGGATCTCTGTGAGTTCCAGGACTGCCTGGTCTATATAGTGAGTTCCAGGACAGCTAGAGCTACATGGTGAGACCCTGTACAAAAATAAAAAATAAAATAAAGACTACAAAACTTTGGGGAGGGTCACACATAATGGCACATGCCTGAAGTCTCAGCTACTCAGGAGGCATTGGCAAGAGGATCATTTGGGCCTAAGAGTTCATAGCCAGCCTGGGCATCATAATGTAAGCTCTGTTATAGGGTAGGAAATCTGGAATTCTTTTTTTTTTTTTTTTTTTTGGCTTTCTGAACCTATGCTGTTCTAGACTCACTTTGTAGACCAGGCTGGCCTTGAATTCACAGAGATCCACCTGCCTCTGCCTCCCAAGTGTTAGGATCAAATGTGTGTGCCACCACACCCAGCTGAATTTTGGTTTCTTAAGGAAAAAACACAGAACTACTGTAAGAATATATTTTTCTTTTAATCCCAGTGTGGAATACGGGGCTACTTCAGACTGCTGCAGCTGACTATTTGCCTCTTGACTGATTTGCCTCTTGCTCTAGCAGAAGCATGGTTTTGCCAGCTGTAGATAGTCTGGAATTTGGGGAGTTTTTCAGAGAGTAGATAAATTTTCAGTAGGCATGGTCAGTGTTCTTTCAGGGGCATTGGTTGTGGTTTGTTAGTAGTCATGCTCAGAGAAGAAACAAGAAGAAAGAAAACAGATTAAGACATCTTTTTCTCCTTCCCTCTGTCCCGCTAACCTTTCTCTCCTATCTAGTGTTAGAGGGTGAAACTAAGGGGATAAAGGATGGGAGGGAAAAAGAACCCACAACATAACAAAGACTAGCTACAAGCAAAGAAGGAGCAAGACGAAGTTAGATTCAGAGATATCTCTCTCTTCCCTCTGTCCTTCTTTCTCCTATCTGGTGATAGGGGCCAAAACCAGGGGATAAAAGATGGAAAAGGAACCTACAAAGCAGTAAAGGCAAGCTGCATTATTACCCAAAATAAATAGGCAGTTTAGGGAGTGGCTGGCCAAGAAGGCGTGGGCTCTAGGTCCTGAGCTCCACCTTGGCTTTTTCAGGGTGCTGGCCATCCTGGAAGAGTCACTGGGAAGGGGCAGGAGGTGGTTGCTACAAGCCTGGCCATGAGTGGAATTCAAGTGCATGCTTTTTGTCCCCGTGTCTCCTGGGGGACATGACGTGGGTCTTCTGATCTTGGCCCTCATTCTTTTCTATAGAAACTTCACCTTCTGCGTTCAGCCCGTAGAGAGCCAGTAAGCAGCTCTTCCGCTGCCCATCCCTCCTGTGAGCCAGGTGCCGCAGTGCACACTGGTAACCAAAGCACTCAGATGGGAATGTGGAGATTTTGAGGCTAGCCTGGGCTGCCTATGAGTACCTTCTGTCCCCTGTGAATTGAAGGAGTCCTGGGCGGAGATGCACGTGGGAGTCATTCTGGGACAGATTGCCGGGCTCCTCACTTCAGCTCTCGTATTTTACCTATGAAAAGCTGAGACCTCAGAGAGGTCTAGCCCCACATGACACATCTAGTGAAGGCTAGACCCAAATTCACCTGCCTGTGTTTGTCTGTCTGTCTGAGCGGCAGAGGAGGCAGGAAAGCTTCAGCACCCCCACTCCCGCGTGCCTCTGCTTCTGAGTCTGTTAAATGGGAGTGGTGGCTTCCTGAGGACACACAGCAGAGTCTGAGAAAGCTAGTGGAGAGAACTGAGAGCGGCAGAATCAAGAGGCTCTAGTGTAAGGACTCCACAAGGGGTCTGAAGGAGGGACAGGGCAGGTGGCCTCTGAAGCTGTGGTTTCACATCTTCTACCCAGGAGGGGCTGGAGCCGGGGTTGCCATGGATACCGTGTCCCTGGAGCATCAGATCCAGAGCGTGCAGCGCCACATCAGCTTCCTGAAAAAGGAGCAGATGGCCCTGCTTCGAGACCTACACCTGGAGATCCTGAGGCTGCAGAAACGCTGCTCAGGTACGGCTAACCCTGACCCCGGTGGCTGGAGTGAGGAGGGGCCACCATCACCAGTTTCTCTGGTGGGGTGCTCTTTCTGAGTCCCTGGGAGCCTAACATCAGTTCTGTCGTGTCTCTTTCTGAATGAGAGTCAAGGCTTGGGTGGAGTGGATTTTAGGGAGAAGCTGGATGTATAATCTTAGTACCAGGGAAGGAGAGTTAGGTCTCCGCTGCATAGTGATTTCAGAGCCAGCCTGGGCTATGTGAAACCCTGTCCCTCACCCTCCCCTGCTCCCCACACCTAAAAATGCTAAGGCTGAGAACCCTGCTGAGGAAGTGGGTCAGACTTCCAGGAACCAGTTCTAAGGGATCCCTGTCCTGTTTGAGTCACTGCTCATTGAGTCCCAGGTGAGGAAACACGTCAGAGCACGAGAGCGAGATGGGGCAGAGTGCGGAGCACTTACCTAGCATTTGCACGAGGCCCTGAATTCTGTGCCCAGCATCACACACGTAAACATACATCAGAGAATAAGAGGGCTGCTGCTCGTTAACTACACCGTTTCCACGCAGAGTCCGTTGTGAGTAGCATGGGTCTTGAAGACCTTTTTGTGCATCGCCATGACTACTGATTCAGCTCCTAATGACTCTGGCAGGGTTAGAGGTAACAGACAAGAGATTTCTACCCAAAAGACAGTTTGAGCAGGATGATGGAGACTGAGCAGTGCTGTCTAAGGAGGGAGCATGTCCTCTCCCAGGAGGGCAAAGTACAAAGGCATACTGACAGATGACAGGGGGAGGAAGTGACAAGACCATTCCAGATGAATGTGCCAGCATAGCAAAGGCTAGGAGGTAGCATAAAGCTGTGCTCAGAAGAGACTAGAGACAGATCCCAGAGACCCCGACAAATACAGGGAGACCTTGAGGAGTTTGGCTTGTCCTCTTGGGCAGTGGAGACGAATGAATGGTTTGGAGCAGCTGGATGCTTCTTCCTCACACGGCTGGCCTAGCAGCAGAGGTGAACTGTCGCGGAGCAAGGCTGGAGCGATGTGGCAGAGCTGCTGGGAGGTGAGGAGTCGGGGTGAAACAGCTTGAAGGAGCAGGGTTTCTTACATTTGGGAGCTGAGAAGAGACAGGCAAAGGATGAATGAAAGTTCCATGTCTAACCTCTGGTCTTGAACTTGTAGCCTCAACTACCCAGGCCTTTCAGAGGCTCGACTGTGGCCCAAGTGCTCACCTGTCTCCGAGTGGAGGCCTTATGTGTGTTTGCGGATGCAGGGCCTCAGGTAGACCAGGCTGGCCTCCAGCTCCTTACGTACTCTAGGGTGGCTTTGAACTTTCAGTCTTTCTGCCTCCATTTCTGTGTAGCCCTGGCTGTCCTGAAACTCACTCTGTAGACCAGGCTAGCCTAAAACTCAGAGATCCAACTGCCTCTGCCTCTGGAATGCTGGGATGAAAGGCGTGTGCCATCACCGCCTGCTCTGCCTTTACCTTGTAAAGGATGAGATTAGAGGTGTGAGCCACCATGGGATGAGAGCTCATGGGATGTCTCAGTTGAAAGTACCCAATTTCCTATTTATTTACTGACATGTTTCTTCCTTCTCTTTTTCTTCTGCTTCTCTTCTTCTTCTTCTTCTTCTTCTTCTTCTTCTTCATCTTCATCTTCATCTTCATCTTCATCTTCATCTTCATCATCTTCTTCTTCTCCTCTTCCTTCTCCTCCTCACTATCCTGGAACTCACTCTGTAGACCAGGCTGGCCTCAAATTCCCAGGGATCTACCTGCCTCCGCCTCCCAGGTGCTGGAATTAAAGGTGTGCCCCAGGACCTAATTTCTTTATTGTGAAAGTTATAAACCAGGATCTAGAAAAAAATCTTATGATGTTAGTGTCACAGCCAGGATTGAAACCAACCACTGTGCCATTTTCTGAACGTGCTCTACCTGTTGGTTGCACAGAGGGAGACACTGAGGCCTGGCGTGTGACCCACTCAGCGTCTCACATTAACAAAGGATGTGAGAAGCCTTGACTCAGCCGCTTTGCACACACACATCCAGTTGCTGAATTCCAAGCTAGGCTTCTGGCCATCTGTCCCCCAGTGACTGGATGGCTCCAGAGGCCACTTTTATATTGAAATAACAGTATCAGAGGAAAGCAGAACAAAAATCTTACTGCATATCCTCGCATTTCTTCTTGTTTTTCCCTAATTCTGAGAACCTGGGTGCTTCTGTTCCAGACACAGGATGGCTCCCATAACAACAGCACAGGCAGGACTGGAGGGCCCCCCAGTCCCCCTGGCCCTCAGGTGAGCCTGGGCTTGCAGCCTCCTGGTTATTGATTAAGAGATAAAAATAACTCTGGTCTTGTCTGGAACTGCCACTCTGGAGGCTGAGATGACGAGCCAGGCCGTCCTTCCAGTAGGGAGATACAGAGCAGAGGAAACAGGGGAAGGAGACTGAAGGAGGACCCAGGGGGGCAGGCTGCCTGGAAAAGGCAGGTGAAGATGAAGAAGGTGGAGCCAGGCATAGTGGCACACGCCTTTAATCCCAGTACTCAGGAGGCAGAGGCAGGTAGATCTTTGAATTTGAGGCCAGCCTGGTCTATAGAGTGAGTCCTAGACAGCCAGGGCTACACAGAGAAACCCTGTCTCGGAAAACAAAACAAAAAAACACAAAAAGATGAAGAACGTGAGATTTGGAGGGAGAAGTAAGTTCTGGGCTGGAAGGACAGCCTGGACAATGACAGGTACCCTGTGCTTTAATTCTGGCCTAGCCCTAAGCTAAATTCTCATTGCATTTTGGCATCTGCCCCTTGTAAGAGAAGTACTGTTCTGTTCCCATTTTCCAAATGAAAAAACTAAGGCTCAGAGGAGTATCCTTGCTGATCCAGGGTGCCCCCATGGACTGATTTCATAGAATACCAGTATACCCTGCAAGGACTCACACCAGGAGGTGGGTAGAGAAAGGTTAAGAGAAGCCAGTGTGGTGTACACACCCTCGATCCCAGCATTCAGAAGGCCGAGGCAGGGCAGTCTCTATGAGTTTAAGGACAATTGGTCCGCATAGTCAGTTCTAGAACAGCCAGAGCTAAAGTGAGCTCCTGTCTCAGAAAACAAAAGAAGATCTGGACAGATGGCTCAGAGGCTAAGAGCACTGACTGCTCTTTCAGAGGTCCTGACTTCAATTCCCAGCAACCACATGGCAGCTCACAACCATCTATAATGAGATCTGGCACACATGCAGGCAGAATACTGTATAAATAATAAATAAATAAATAAATAAATAAATAAATAAATAAATAAATAAATAAGTCTTTTTTTAAAACCCAAAGAAACAAACAACAACAAAAGGAAGATGGGGACTAGGGCCAGCTGGGGCTCTGACTCTGCATCTTGAAACCCTGTGATTAATGGTTGAGAGAAATCAGCCCTTGAGAGGTTAGCAGAGAGCTAAAGTCCCTTAGGCCATCGCATAGGCCTTGGAGGAGGGAGAAGTTGGTCCCCAAGAGTCTAACGGGTGGAGGCAACAGAGGCCTCCCAGTGGCCCCAGGGAGAAGGTTCAGGCTCCGGCCATAGCTAAGGTACTCTGTGTCCCAGCAACAAGTGGTGTCCCCAGAGAAGACACTTCTAGCAAAACCCTGGTCCCTGAGAGCATCTTGAGGGGGAAGATGAGCAGGACAAGGGCACAGGCCTGCCTAAGTAGGTATTGCTGGGCAGTATAACCCAGACAAGTGCCACTTTCTTTGGGCTCAAAACTTCATCCCTGACAGTAGCTGCAGGTGCCCCCAAGTAGGGCCTATGATCCTCGGCTCCCTTCCATCCTTTTCCCAGTACACGGTCCCCACAGCCATGACAGAATTGGAACCCAGAGCCAGGAGTTCTAAGCATCTCTGTATCACCAGGCTGTAACCTCCCAATCCCTCCTTGTTCTGAGCTCTAAGAGTTGGTTGAGGCTGAAAATAGTGATCATCAAACAGTTACCCTGAGGGATGGAGCATGGGGGCACCAAAGAATGAGTATAAGAAAAATATTGCACCCAGGAAGAACTTGTTTTTATGTGAGTGACCTTGGTGACGGCACTCCTCAGCTTGGGTGCCCCTGAGGAGCCCCTTTCCTGCCACACCAAACCAAGGCCTGGTCCAGCTTCCACCATTAGGTGGCACTGTCCTCCCTATGGCCTTCTTGCATGTCAAATGGGCTTTGGGAAACCAACAGGGATCTTCAGACAGGAACAGGTACAGTACTGGCAGTGAAATTAGTGTCATCTGTGTTTGGTTTGGTAGCTAGCTTCCGCCCACTTCCATTGCCCTCCAAGAAGCTCTGGGCACTGAGCTTGCGTGGGTAACAAGAGCCGTCCACAACCGTCCGACTTGGTGGCATATCCCCTTAGGGAAAGAGGCAAAAGCTCCCTCATCCCCCAAACAAGCCAGGATTTTCTGCACACGGAGGTATTCTCTATTCCCAAGCTTAGGCACAAAGCCTTTGCTGAAAAGCTCTCGGGGCCTGAAATGCCCAGCCCCAGGCTCTGCCTTCAGCATGGCTCTTCCCCTCGCTGGGATGTAAAGTAGCTGTAGGGGGTGGTATAGATGAAACCTGTCCTTCCACTGAGTTTTGATTTCGTAACACGCACACACAAACTGCTCTATTCTCTCTTCCTCAGAACTGACCCATGACCTGGAAATGAGAGAGGTCCAGGCTCACCAGCAAGGTAAGAGAACTAGCCCTGAGCTCTGGTGGGAGGTGCATGAGGCACAGAAGGTTGCGTTTCCAGTCATTTTTAAGTGTCTCACATATTATTACGGGAATGGGGTGCACATGTGTGGAAGTCTGAGAATTTCTGGGAGTCAGTCAGTTTTCTCCTTCTCCCGTGCAGGTCCCAGGGGTCAAGCTTGGGTCATCAGGCTTGGCAGCAAGCTCCTTTACCTGCTGAGCCATCTTGTTGGACTAGGTTTTGCGTGTTGAGATAAGTCCTCACATGGCAGAAGCTGGCCTCTAAGTCACTCTGTAGTCAAGGGTGGCCTCTGGCTCCCACACACAGTGGCATGTACGGGTAGAAATGCATGTGCATACTGCATGCATGCGCAGACACATGAATGCCACAATGAAGATATAAAAGTAAAGGGTTTTTTTTTTTTAAAAGTCTTACTTGGTCAGGGAACTGTGGCACACATGTTTAATCCCAGCACTCGGGAGGCAGAGGCAGGCAGATCTGTAAGTTCTAGGCTAGCCTGGTCTACATAACAAGTTCCAGTACATCCAGGGCAACATAGGTAACCTTGTCTCAAAACAAATGAAAAAGGAGGAAGTGCTGTACTGGAAGCCCGAGTACTGAGTGACAAGACCAGGTCAAGACTAACGTAGACAGGAGGAAAGCCGCTCCGCTTAGCACTTTGTGTCTGGCAGCGTTCAGAGGACCCTGGTGGGAGCACTCAGGAGAAGCAGGGTTGCCTGGGTCTTCAGCCAGTTTCTTCTTCGTGGTATATCAACTTCAAGGCCAGCATAAGCTATGAAATGACCCCCTGGGACCATTTGTTTTGTGTTGAGATACTGCCTTACTCTGTTAGTCTCAAATGGCCTCGAACTTACTATGTAGACCAGGGTAGCTTCAGGTTTTTGCCCATCCTGCAGCCTCAACCTCCAAAGCACTGACACTAGTCATGAGCCACCAGGCTGGTGCCAGAAGAATTCTTCGGAATTGGCAGAAACCTGGATGCCTTTAGTCCCAGCACTTCACAGGCAGAGGCAGGAGGGTCTACATGGGTTCCAGGCTAGCCTGGTTTATATAGCAGGTTCCAGGCTAGCCAGTGCTAGCTACATCATGAGACCATTGTTTCAGGGGGGAAAAAAAAGGGAGAGGGGGAGAGTGAGAGAAAGGGAAGGAGGGAGGGAGGGAAAGGAAAAACTTGACTTCCTGTCATACAGATAGTGTTAAAGCTCTTACATGTCAAGAACTGAGCAGGGAAGGCTGGGAAATGCTAAGCTGAGCTGCTAGGAGTCCTATAGATTGTGGCTTGCACCTGAAGGTCAGCGAGGGCACATGGGAACTCTTAGACTCGAACTTATCCTGTCCACTTCTTCCCCTGGCACACGTGGACTCCTGGTCCTCTGTGCTTGCGGGAAGGGACACTAGACAGGGACTTACTGCCTAAAGACACCTCCCCACCACTACCTGTCCTCTGGAAGGGCTTTGGGGGTCACCAGAACCCAAGCAACTGAGGGGACAGACGACAGACGGGGAGTAAGGTCCAGGAGGAGGGGTCCTTAGCTCCGACGAGTGCCATGATCCCCAAGGGAGATCTCTGCGGCGCCACCTCTAGGACCAGTTCCAGAGGTTCTGGGTTAGATCAGTCAGCAAAAAGAACCCACAAAACGGGATAGGTGCTCAGTGAGAAAACAAAGGACTCCCGCTACCACCTCCTGGGCACACCCACAGCTACTCAGCCCCCGCTGTTGCCACGTCCTCCGGTCGCAAGGCTTTTCAAGCTGCTCCCCTCCGGGAGTGCCCTTCTTCAGGGGAGGAGCTGTCCGTCCTAGCTCTCAAGCCTTCCCTGATTGTATCACGTCGTCCTTAGCATCAGGGCGTTAATTCGCCCGTCTGACACGTGTCACACTGGCAACCTGGCATTTGTTTGTGGTTGTTTACCACGCTGTACGCTTCGTGAAAACATGCGCCCAACGCAGGGCGCGGAGTTTCAAGGCCCAACAGATTGCTTCACTAATGAACGCTCGATCAGGAACGGTTTTGAGTTTAAGCTGAAGAATTAAAGGCAGAGAGTAGGACAGGGGCAGAAGCCCTGTGGCTGAAATTTGAGGCGGAAGAGCAGGGGTGGCCGCTGGACCAGCTGGGTTGTGTTTCATGCCCTTGGGGCACCATCGCCTCCTTGTTCTCCCTTCTCTACAGAGGAGGCGTCTCAGGAGCTGGAGAGCAAGTGCCGCGCGCTCGAGTCGCAGCTGGAGGCGCGGGCGGCGGCCAACGCGGAGCTGCGGCGGGAGGTGGCGCAGCGGGAGGCGCTGGTGTCCGCGCTGCGCTGCAGCCTGCGTTCGGAGGAGCGCCGCTTTCTGGAGGAGCTGAGGCGCCGCAGCCACCGCGCCACGGTGCTGGGCACCGAGCTGCAGAAGCACACCGAGGCGGCCGCCTACCTCTCCTGCCAGCTGCATGCCGCGCGCCAGAGACTGCAGGCCCCGCGCTCCGGAGCCGCCGCCGCCGAACCTCGGCCCCGCCGGCGCGCGCAGCGGGCCCGCCGCCCTCCCGAGGCGGCCGCCAAGGGGCCGGGCCGGGACTGGGCGACCTGGGAAGACGCCGATCCCATGCCGGACCCCGCGCTCTTCCTCTACCCGCGGAGGCCACCGCGGCCCAGCCCCCGAGGCCCGCGTCCTGTGCCACGCCAGGAGCTGCCGGACCAAGGCGCCCCATACCCTCTACCACACCAGGAGCCCGGGGACCAATGTGGCCAGCACCCGGGGCCCAGCGAGAGCCCAGGCTCCACGCCCGGCGCCCCAGGGGATCCTGAGTAGGCGCTGGGCAGGCGGTGGCATAGGGAAAGCAGGCCTGACTGGGCAGGATCAGGGATGGGGCGGAGCCCAGCCGGCAGATCCGCCCCAGCTCCGCCACCCTCTAGAGCCGCCCCCGCTTGTGTTTCCCGAGAGGAGAAAGACCTCCTTCGCAGAGGGAGAGCCAAAGGATCGCACCTTTATCGTGGTCTGGGTCCCACCCAGCCCCTGAGAGGGGGAGGGGCGGGGTCTTGTCTGTCCCTGGAAAGCTGACAATCCCTGGTAGGGCAGGAGAAGGCTGAGTCTGCCTACAGGAAGGAACACGATGGCACTCGGCACCCCTAGGCCTGCAAGCTCCCCTTTCCTGCTTTCTCGCCACCCTCCAACCCCCCACCAGCCCTGACCAGCCTTTTGCTCGGCAGAGGCAAGCTTAGGAACTGGCTTGGACTCGGGAGTGGCTACTCCCCACCCCACTGTTAAGTCCTTGAAGGTGAGCACGGAACACTTTATAACCTGTTTTAGAAGTCACGCCCTCTCGGAGCCGCTGTGCTCCTGGTGGCAGTTAGCGTACAGAAAACAGTAAGCCTAGACCTTGGAGCGACTCTTGACGAGGAACTGATTGGTTCTTCCCGGGTCTGCCATGCAGGAGTATGAGAGACAGTAAAACTGGGGCTCAGACTTGGGCGAGGGCAGAAGGGCTTCTCGCCTTCGGTTTCTGAGGCCATCTCAGAGACTTCCCAGTCCTGTTCTAGGTGCTAACGTTGCCAAGCTTCCAAGCAGCTGGCTGCACCCAGAGGCAGGAAGGAGGGCCTGGCTTCTTGGAAGTGGCAGCTGTCCATAGACATTTGACTTTCTGGGGAGGAAAGTGGAGACTGGTTAGTCCCGGGAGGCGCTCACCCCTGGGAAGGCCGCTTCGCCTGTAGAACTGCTGGCAGGGTGGTCCTGAGTGCCCCCTCCTAGTTGGGAATGGTAGAGGGAGGGCAGAATGTCGACACATCCCCCTTTCCAGTTCTCCTCAATACCAAAGCAGAGAGCTTCAGTCCAGCCCATGCTCCGGCCCCACACCAGAGCCCAAGAGCCCCACTCCATCACCCTTGGCTTGACCTGCATTGAGTCCTAAGTGCCTGTGAGGTCTTCCCTGGGGCTGGTGAGGGAGCATGCCTCTCTTCACTCAGACACTGGGCCCCTAGCAGGCCCCGGCCCTGGCTAAGGTACCACATAGTGTGTGTCACCCAAAGTCTTGATTTGAGCACTGAGTGGTTGGCAAACCTCTTCATGGCTACCAGAAAGAAAAGAACCCCTGGCTCATGTCCTCCACTTTTTAAAAGGAAGCAGGAATTTGGCGGGAAGCGGAGCACAGTGAGCACATTCTAACCTGAGCTTGTGCACAGACCCCCTCCAAGCTTTCCTCTACCCTGAAGGGCAGCTGAGGCCTCTGAGCAATAACCAGGCTTGGGCTGAGCTCTCTAGCTCAGCTGCCACCCTGGGAGTTGGGTGGCAGCTGTAGAATCCTGGGGTCCCTACTGGGGCCCCTGACAGCTACCCTTTCAGTCCAATGGCAGCACCTATGCTGCTTGTCTCCCCTTAATTTTATATGACACTGCCCTAACCTGCCACCCTCTCCATCTGGAGCCTGCCTGTGCAAGGGACTCATGCTGCTCCCTTGGAGGTGCCCAAAGGACAGTGGGAGGGGAAAGGCCTTTATCTTGGGGCACCTGCACAGACCTAGATCTCTTACAACTATACTTTTGGGGTGAACAGGGTGATTTTGTTATGTCGATTTTTTTCTAGAGAGCCCGTTTTCATCCATCCATCCACTATAAGCCATAGCTACCCAGCTAGCTTCCCTCTATACTATAGCAATAGCCCTTTATCTTTTCTCTTCTGGGCACCCGGGGTGTTCAGCTGGCTCCATCACACCCCATCCCCAGGGATCCGACAGTAACCTGCCTGCCTTTCCTCAAGTGACCCTGTCGGCACCTCCCAAATCCTGTTCCTCTTGTGAGTGACAGAGGTAAGGATACTCGTTTGTGAGGTGCTTGGCGGTCTCCCAGGTGAAAGGGTCTAAGAGCATCTGACTGCCAGTTGAGATCTTGTGGGGGGAGGGGCATGCTACAACACTTCCATCAGTGAGGAAGTGATAGGGAGGCCTAGGTGGATACAGGATTCCGGTGTTAACAGGCTACCACCTCTCCCTTTGCTTCTGGAAATAATGGAAGACTCCCTTCGGTGGTCTGCAGTCAAGGAATCCCTCAGCCTCCCAGTCTGGGACAGGTCCTGCCCTTAGCTTCCACCCCTTCCCTTCCTAGACCTGGCTATAGGAATCCGCCTGATCAAAAGAAAAGTACCAGTACCAGCCGCAGCCCAGGAGTCACCCAGTGGCTTCGGAGGGAAAGAGCCATTTCCTTTCTCTTCTTCACTGCATATATCCCCGTCTCCCCATTGGGAGACTGAGATAGTTTGTCCCTAGGGAGAGTCCCACAATGCAAGTGTAGGCAGACCCAGAAGAAGAGCTGCAGTGAAGTCCTTTTACACTCTAGAAGACATCTAGGAATGCCTGATGCAGTTTGAAGTTCTGTATCCTTGCCAAGGCAACCTGTTCTTTGGGGGTCCAGTTCTGGGCCAAGATGGGGCAGCTCATCCTTACACAGGCAGCTGGATAGTCATCCTGCATGGAGACGGAAGGGAAGGAGGCCAGAGGGTGCGGAGCATCTTCTCATTTGGGGGCCCAGGAGTCTCCGAAGCATCCTTTCAGACTGATGTGCCAGCCTTGAATGGGAGACACGCAGGGCAGACGGATCCTGCTCCAAATTCTCTGTTGGCTGCGCTTTTTAATCCAATGCTTTTCAGAGTGCATTCACTCACCTACAGAAATAGAGCCCTGTGCTTTAGGGGTGACTGTCACATGCCTTATTCTTAATAAAATGTTTGGAAAACATGTAACTGCATTCTCTTGCTTACAGTGCTGTTGCTCTCCTGCCTCTGTTCCCGCAGACTTAGAGTAGGGAGGTACAGATGTGAGGGAGACAATACTTGGAAATCAATGGGTAGAGTGATCCTGAGACCCAGCCACTTCCCACCCCCAGACATGATATGCTCTTAAGGGTGTAAGGTGCTTGCTAACGTGACCTGGCTCTATGCCAAGGCCTGCTAGTCTCTCCATGCACCGCCCAACCTGAACAAATAATGAGTGAAGGAGTTCTTGGGTGAGTTTCTGAGTTGGCTGGAGAAGGATAGGTTGGCAGTCTCCCATGCTTGGTTTTGGCATATTTGGCCACACTGTTCCCCATCTGATGGACAAGAAGCCCAGCATCCCAGAGCTAAGCCCTTTCACATCCTCTACAAGTGGGCGTCATCCTATGACTGCAGCTTCAGGGGTCAGCACATCTGGCACCGTGCTTTCAGTGTGCGTCCAGGTTGTGAACAGCTAGAATAAACTCTGCATCCTGAGCATGAAAAGGAATTTGTGTCTGTGTACAAGCCTCCCCTCCTGTAATTGGAGTCATCTCAGTCCATCTTGGCCGGGGAGGCTGATTCCATCTTGTGGGGAAAGTAAAGCCGATTGCATTGCTTTCACTAGGTTGAAGATGGGCACAGGAGCCACTCCATGCCGATGAGTCAATCATAGAACTTTCACAAAAAGCATAACATTAAACACTTCGTCTTAGGTGCTAAGGCTGCGGCAGTGAGGCACATAGGACTTTTGGCAAAGACAAACTACTGAGCAGCTAAAATGGTACTCCATGAACTTGGAGGTATAGTGGGTCATTTGCCATCACAAGTGGGTAAGGTATCCAGAAAAATGAGAAAGTAGGTTGGGGATACGCCTCAGCTTGTCCATTGCTTGCCTAGCCACAGCACTATGTATTGATATGGTGACACATGCCAATAGTCTTAGTAACCGGGCAGCCAAGCCAATGCACCAACCAAAGTTCCTCTTCCAATATATAATGAATTTGACACCTCTGCTATACACAAGGTCTTGTGATTAAGGGGGGGGGGGGGGATCTGGAGAGACGGTCAGTGGTTAAGCTGAGTACTGCTCTTCCAGAGGACATGCGTTTGAGTTCCATCACCCGTGTCAGGCAGCTAACAGCTGCCTGGTAACCAGCTGCAAAGGGTCTGATCCTTTTTCTGACTTCTGTAAGCGCACAGCATGCACTGGTACAGTCAGGCACATGAATAAAGCTGAATAAGAAAACATTTCTTAAAAGTGAAATGAGGCACCTGATAACAAAGTGATGATTTGTTCTGTATCCACGGGTGTCTGAAATCCCTTTATATGGTAAGTCCTCTCTCTGTCCGCATTTGCTTTTTCTTTAAAAAAAAAAAAAAAGATTTATTTGTTTGTTTGTTTGTTTGTTTGTTTATTATGCATGCAGTGTTCTGTTTGCATATATCATATATCTGTTTGCACTCCAGAAAAGGTTACCAGATCTTATTATAGATGGTCATGACCCACAATGTAGTTGCTGGGAATTGAACTCAGGACCTCTGAAAGAGCAGCTCTTAAACCTCTGAGCCATCTTTCCAGCCCGTGCTTTTTCTTTTATATAAGACAGTATGGTCTTGGCTAGTCTGGAACCATCTTCCTCTGCCTGGACTGCTGGCATTATCCACCTTCTTTCCTTCCTCCTTCCTTCCTTCCTTCCTTCCTTCCTTCCTTCCTTCCTTCCTTCCTTCCTTCCTTTTGTTCTTTCTGAGACACAGTCTCACCACATAGCCCTGGAACTCACAGAGATCTGCCAGGCGCTCCCTGCCTCTCTAGTTTTGGGACTAAAGGTGTAGGCGATGAAGCCCTGCTCACATTTGCTTTTAAGTAATCAAGATTGATTTGTGGGTTTTTTTCCTCCTCCTCCTCTTGCTCTTCCTTCTCATTTCTGGTATTTGGGATTGAATCTATGGCCTGGCATAAGTGCTCTACTATCAAGCTATAGTCCCAGACCATTTTAATTTAAAATTTTTATTTTTTTTATGAATTTTTTAAAGATTTATTTATTTTATGTATATGTGTGTTCTATCTGTATTTACACCTGCCAGAAGAGGAGTCAGTTCACATTATAGATGGTTGTGAGCCACCATGTGGTTGCCATCTCTCCATCCCAAACTTTTTATTTCTATTAAATTTTTAAATAGTATTTGGTGTTAGGTTTGTTTATTTCAATTTGCTTTTTTTTTTTAAGCCTTCCTCCTTCAAGCTGATTTTTTCAAGAAGTGTGTTTGACACAATGAGGAAAAAAATACTTAGTACAGAGGTCTTGATATTCAAGTTTTCCAGAAATGACCTAAGAAGGGG